AGGCTGAGTTAAGATTGTAAGTGCTGCAACACTTAGTGCAATTCCTACAAGAAATTACCAAAGCCCTGCTCACGAAGCAGGCCGAGCTAAGGTTGTAAATGCTGCAAAACTTAGTGCGAATTCCTCCAAAGGAATCCCTAAAAGGTCTGCTCATGAAGCAAACCGAGCTAAGGTTGTAAGTGCTGCAACACTTAGTGCGAATTCCTGTAAAGGATCCCTAAAATTCTTGCTCATAAGCACATCAAGCTAAGGTTGCATGTGCTGCAATGCTTAGATAATTCAATATATTATAAGGTGCGTGATATCTCATTTGCAAGTCAAAATGTGACACGTGTTCAAAACATTTATTGCTATAATAATTGTAAAAATGGAAAACGAGCCAACCGCGTTCAAAGGTTAGCCCGTCACCAAGGCGAGGGCCGACCTGGGGGGTAACTGTTGATATCCTACCTCACCAAGGCGAGCTCCGATTGGGTGGTAACTGTTGATATCTGACCTCACAAGGAGAGCTCCGACCTGGTGGTAATCCGAGTTTGAATATGTGAGGTCAGCTCGAAGTTCAAGGAGACTTAATGATTGAAGATTCCTTACACACCGTCAAACGTCCAATCAATCAATTACATCTGGATAGGCTTATGATAGCACCTCCTAAATCCACCAATCATATGCCTTAGCTTCCTTCCCTAAATAACTCATTAATTACTGGAGGCCACCTGTAAGGTTAAACTCATGATGACCTGACAAGTCGAGCTCGTTAACCAGTCAAAACATGCCAATAGTGTACTTTCTCAGCTCGGTACTGTAGTTGATAAGACAAGGAAATGGTGAATGCATGTTAACCATTCCCTATAAAAGGAGGGATAAGAGTCTTGGAAATAAGAGGATTAAAAATCACTTGATAATTCAAATATCTCCTTTGACAAAACCAAAGGAAAACAATTGTAGTTTACTATTGTAATTTATAAGTCATTATTAGTAAAAATTCTCATTTACATCCTAAGTTGACTTGAATTTTGTACATACAATTTTTGACGTCAACAATAAGTAACTTTAAGTCGGGTAAAAATAAGTTACTTACAAGTAAAAAATGATAATTAGCACAAAACGTCCCTACATTTCTATGTTTTTGTGCAAAACGTTCTTACCTTTCACTTTATAACATTTTTACACTCATTTTCACTTTTCATTGCGGAACCTTTCCTTCCATCCACCTACCACAGTTGCTCCGTTAACTCAACACAATAAGCAAATTTTCTTTTCAAAAATCAATGGTAATATAGTCTTAGCTTTGAGACAAAACCCACAAAACATTTCTCTTTATCTTCAATATAAGTTTGAACGATACAATTATAGACTTATAGTGACACTCAAATAATATATTAAAGAGGTTCGGGCCTCAAACTCCATTTCATCATATTCCAACTTCAAATTCAGATTCACTTCTCCTATTTTGCTTTCAAGGCCTGAAGGTATGCGTTTCTTACACTTTTTTTCTTCAAGAAGCAATTAGGATTCCGTGACTTCTTTTGAGGCTATATTTATTATAATATTAAATTCTGTCTTTTCTTCATTTTTTTTTTCCAAGATCACTTCTTGTTTTATTAAATTGATTGAAATTGTGAAAGTTGCGCCTAAAGTTAAGACTTTATTTCAGCTTGTAAAACGTTTTTTTTACGTGGGTTTGTCTCAAAGCTTTTCATTTCTTTTTAATTTTGAAGTGAGATACTAATTTTTAATGTAATTTTTGTATCAATTTTTCTATATGTTTATATATTTGAAATGACCAACAAAGGCGATATTTCAAATGAATTCAGTTTAATTACCTCCATTAGATTCCCCTGCTCAAAATTTGAATTTTTTAGCGTGTTATAACATCGTGCTTAACTCTCAATTGAAGACTTTACTTTCAAAGTGGCAAGTCCCAATACAATAGGAAATTGGTATAAATCAATTGAGTTATTGAAGATAAGCTAGTTAAAACTATATTATTCTTGGTTTTTAAAAGAAAATTTGATTTTTGTGTTGAGTTAACGGAGTAATTGGCGGTAGGTGGATGAAAGGACCTTTTTTGCAATGAAAAGTGAAAATGTGGATGAAAATGTCGAAAACGAAAGATAGGCATGTTTTCTTTAAAACATTGAAAAGTAGGAAGGTCTTGTACCAATTAGCCCAAAAAAATAACTTTTCAAAGCTTATGCATATTTTACCAGCGAAAAAATTCCACTCAGTTGCGGTTGTCTCAAGGCAGCACACCACCTCATACAAATCTCAACTTGTCCAACTATACATACGTATACATACATAATTGCTTATATAGAATTTCGATTAATCCCGATTGAAAGTCACTTTTAGGTCTTTAGTTGAATTCCCAAAAGTGTACTTATATATATATATATATATTGATGAAGCCCATAAGGCTGCCGGAGCCACCGGGAGTTCGCCATCAATTGGTGGAGTTCCTGATATATTCGAGGGCAGGGTTTATGGTGTCATCCGGCGAGCCGTCATCATTGGTAATGGATTCACGGCTTCCGAAAACCAGAGCATCGGCTTGATTCGCGCCCTAGGTCTGATGGAAAAGCAAACTCTTTATGTAAGTATTGAATTTGAATACCCTTTT